GTTGTGAGTCTTTTAACAAATTTCAGAGGTCACATATCTTTGGAATACTGCAGTTAGGGCTATTCAAGTTAGGTGTCCAGCAATTTTATTATCCTAAAACCAAAGATATTTTTGTTCTATTATAGTTTAGGCTATACAATCAGATGTTGGAATTTTTATTTAAATTTGTGTTTCCAAGTATTTGTTTTAAAATATCCATATTAGGTTTCGGTTACAAAGCCCCTCCTCCTCCCTAAAGTTAATGCTTTGACTAACATCTCCTTAGAGTTAGTGAAGAGTCTCATGGTGACTTATCCTGGCTAGCTCATAAAGAGCTGCTTTATGATCAAATGCCCACAGGTGTGACTTTTAGGGTCTAGTGTAAAGAATAGACTTTTTCCAGGTTTTTTTTTTTCTTCTTTGTCTTTCAGTTTTAGTTCCACTCTGTGGAACTGCCATTGCTTTTAGGTGCGCTCACCTAGGAAGTTGTTCTGCAGATCTTCACCTATCATTTAGGCAGAAAACAACCTCAGGAACATTTTAAGATTTTATCTTAGATAATATCCTAGAACAGAAAGATACCTTTTTATGTTAAATGCTAACTGATTAAAAAATAAAACTTCTTAGACTAGACAACATTTTTTTCTGGAGATCAGACAAGTACTCTGTTGTGTCAACTTCTAAGGCACTGGCAACTTGTTCAGCCTGTAGAAAATGGAATTCAGACTGTGCTAGCCTTTATCAGATCCTTGTTTAAAAGATTATCATGCCATAATCTTAGCACCTGGAAGGCAGAAGCAGCCAGCTGAATATCTGAGAGTTCAAGGACAGTCTGTTTTACATAGTGAATTCCAGGCTAGCCGAAGAAACTTTATGAGACCCTCTCTTGAAGAGAAGAGGAGGGGAGGGGAAGGGGGAGGGGGGGAAGGGAAAGAGAGAGAAGAAGGAAAAAGAAAAATTATTGTATGTGTAATTTTGTTATGGAATTTGAGCAGTTAAATGCATAGTAACAAAATATCTTCTTTTTTTTTTAATCTTTCAGAATCATGGTGTCATGGAAGGGGATTTACTTTATACTCTTCCTGTTTGTGGGAAGCTTTTTTGGAAGTATTTTCATGCTGGGTCCCATTTTACCTTTGATGCTTATAAACCTGTCTTGGTATCGCTGGATCAGCAGCCGCCTTGTGGCCACCTGGCTCACACTTCCTGTGGTAAGTTACACACTAGAGATGGGTCTGTCTCCTTGCATTGGAGTGGCCCATCTGTTGATTTTGTTAGCGTAGGTTATGGGTTACAGAAGACATGTTAAGTCCTTTGTGTTACATAACAGGTATGTCAGACTTTAAAAGGGAAGTATGGAAAAGTTTGAGAGAAATAAAAAATAATTCATGTCCTTAAAATCAGACTTCGTTTAAGAACCTTACTGAAAATTAAGACCCTCTTTCCATATTATTCATGAATTTTCTTTTATATTTTATATTATTAGAGGTATATTTTACATGTAGAAAAATACATAAATTGTACTCAAGTATTTTTACATCAATAAATTTTATCCTGCATTTCCATTTTGTTTTTATAAAGCATTGACAAAAATGAAAACTTTTTTTTTTTTTTTTTGAGACAGGGTGTCTCCCTCCGTAGCCCTAGCTGGGATTAAAGGCATGTATCACTATACCTGGCTTTAAAAAATTAAGATTCTTATAGCAAATACTTTTTTAAACTTGTGATAGATATGTTTGATTCAGTTCTTTGAAGTAATTACAAGAATTAGGGACACAAAAGATAAGAAAACGAGGTTTCCTACCTGAATGTTGAGGTTAATGGCATCAGATCAAAGTGCATACAGAGTGTTCAATAGACTTGGTACACTGAGTACTCTCTGTGAGGTCACATGCACTGCTCTGAGCACATCTTCTGATCCTGAGAGGATGACTCTTCTGGTCCATGCTCCTACCTCTCCCATGTCTGGGAAGTGGTTTCAACCCCTCCAGGTGGCCGCTAATCAGTGGGGTCTTCTCCCCAAATCCAGTGAGACTGTGCCCTTGTCTTCCCCTTGAACATTCACTTGGAAATTGTTCTGTTTTTTCTCCTTGGCAACAGGTGAACCTTAAGGTTGCTGGGTTTATCCATTTGTTCTGGTAGAGGCATTGGGCATAACATCTGAAAAAGAAAACAAGAAGGGAGATGTCTATCCTTGGTTGGTAGAGGATCTTTTTTTAAACCTATATTATTGGAGTCCAGCTGCTTAGTTCTCACAAGCAGACCACCTGCCCGTGTGTTGGTTGAGAGGAAAGCATCATGCCATTGCTGTGGACCCTTCGGGTGGAGGTTGACTAGGAAATATTCTTGAAATGGTGCTTGGTGTGGGTTTTCTACTTTAATAGAATAGACATTTCTTAAAAGTATCCTGGCCAGGCGTGGTGGCGCATGCCTTTAATCCCAGCACTTGGGAGGCAGAGACAGGTAGATCTCTGTGAGTTCAAGGCCAGCCTGGTCTACATAGTGAGTTCCAGGACATCTGGGGCTACAGGGAGACCCTGTCTCAAAAAGACCAAAAATAAATTAAATAAATAAATAAATAAATAAATAAGTATCCTGTAAGTTAAATGTTAATAAATCACTTACAATATACTTCTCCTATTTAAATATTAAATAGTAGGATTAATTCCTAAATCTGCAGTTAGGAAGCAGAGAGTGATGATTGCTTGTGCTAGGTTAGCTTTCTCCTCTTTGTGGGTTCAAGGACACAAGCCTAGGAATGGTACCTCTATCTTATGTTGGGATCTTCCCATCTTATTTAACTTAAGAGAATCCCTCACGGGCATGACCAGAGGGTAACATAATCTGGATAGCATCTTACAAGTTTGCTCAGAGGTGTACCTCCTTGGTAATTCTAGATCTTGTCAAGTTGACAATCAGTTTAGCTCACACAAGCATAAACAAATTATTGAAGCAGAGCTGAGATTAATCAGTCGGTCTGATAGTAGAGCCTTATGTGGTAGAAAACCTTCAAAAACTGATGTCCTAGTTTGCTTCTCTGTTGCTATGATAGAAACACTTGACCAAAACCAAATTGGAAGTAAAAGTGCTTATTTCAGCTTATAACTCCCAGGCCACAATCCATCACTGAGGGAAGCCAAGTCAGGAACTCAAGCAGGACCCAGGAGGCAGAAATTGAAACTTAGACCATGGAGGAATGCTGCTTACTGGCTTGCTTTTTGTGGCTGGCTCAGCTTGCTTGCTTTTATAGCCCAGACCCACCTGCCTACAGATGACACCACCCACATCAACAAACAGTTAGGAAAATGCCTTCCGGACTGGAGAGATGGCTTGGTCATTAAGAGCACTGGCTACTCTTGCAGAGGACCCAGGTTCAATTTCCAGCACCTACATGGTGGCTAATAACACTCTGTAGCTCCAGCTCCAGGGGATCCAACACTCTCTTCTGACCTTTGCAGGCATTGCATGACACAGGTGCACCTACCTACATGCAGGCAATACATGCTTACACATAAAATAAAAGTAATAAATAAAAATATTTTTTTTAAAAAAACATTTTAAAAAAGGAAAAAAAAGAAGAAAATGCCTCATAGACATGGCACAGGCCAATCTGATCTGGCTAATTCTTTAGTTGATGTTCCTTCTTTCCAGGTGACTCTAGTTTGTGTCAAATTGAGAAAACCTGACCATGATTGGTAAGCGTCACATTGAGTTCCAGTAGCTCCCAGCATTAGAATTTTAGTGGCACCTTGAGTGTTTTAGAAGAAAGCTTGGTACACTTTCAAGGTAGGGAACACTTGATTTGAGGGAAAAAAACTGAGAAACTGAAAAAATTAATTTCCTTATTACCATAAAATTAATGTTATTAGTGGGATGACTCTCACTGTTGAATAGCAAAGTTTGTAAGAACTAGTCACTGAAAGTCTTCTCTTTTGCTAGAGATCTCAAAGACAGGTTGCTGAATCACTTGGAAGGAGGTATACATTAATAAATCCTTTTTTGATTAGTGGATACGCATAAAGAAGTTTCAAGGTCAAAATAATTTTTGTATCAAAATAATGCTGTGTTCTATTCTTTGAAAGTATTTTTTTGTGAGATTGGAATCCCCCATCCCCCCATCTTACAGAACTTATTGGTTAAACAATCTAAGTGGAGCATTTACTTTGTAGGAAGAATTTTGATAATGAATTTTCTTTTAAATATTGCACAGATCAGACCTTTTACCTCATATTTTGGCCAATTTTGGTCCTACAAGTTTTCTAATGATTTTGTCTGTTTAATTGTCAATTATCTGGCATTATACTAGCTTTTAAGGTCTGTAGGATCTGTAGCAATGTCCCTTTATCCCTTCTCTTCTTGTTCTTAACTAGTCTTACTACAAACTTGTCAGTTCTATTGACTTTTTTGAAGAAACAACTTTGGCTTTATTGTTTTCTTTGCATTGTTTGTGTTATTTCATTTTTTTTCTGATATTATTTGGGGTATAATTTACTTTTTTAAAAAGGCTTCTTAATGTAAAAACTTGGGCTGTTAATTTAAAATGCCTTCCTCCCACTCCCATTCTTCTCTACTATACTTTTAAGATCTGGAATTAATATTGGGTCCATTATTTGTTGCATCACTTTCTTGTGATTCCTCATTAATGTATTTATTATGATCATATTTTCCATTGTTTGTTGGATTATAAGTATGCTTTTTACCCCATCAGGTCTGAAAGGTATCCTTTTCCTTATTTTTGTAGACAGCTTCTTTCCCTTTCTTAATATGTTGTGAGGTGCTTGACCAGAGACAACCACTCAGACAAAGACTTTCTGAATTAAAGTCTTGCTGGCCAGTAGCTACACAAGGGGGTCGGAACCCAAATGTGTAGCCCTGAGCCATCTCTTGGGTAAGCTTTTATACAGAGAAACCATAACCAGGGGTGCAAAGTTTAAGTTCCCAAGCTTCCAGGTGTAATGCCCCCTGAACAATTTCTGTTCTCAGTAACAATTATTCTTTTGCCAAAGCAAGCCAAGTATAACCTACAGAAGCCATAAATCTGCAGTTAGCAAGTGCTCTCCAGGACCCGCTGACCTGTTTCCAAGACGATTGGGATCCAGCTGATGTGTGTTCCCATAGGAACCCTAGGCCAACTGCCTGATAATTTCAGAGACTAGAGTGAGCCTAAACTTTAAATGGTGTAGCTATGGTCAAGAAGGTGCCCTATTACATTCCCCATTGGTTCTACGGGCATGAGTCAAATTCTAGTCTCATCTGGGAGATTATATTGTTTTCTTAGGACTATGATTTTACTGCATTTACTCATTGTTTAATATAGCTGTTTAGGCAATTGATCAGACAAGGTCAGACTGTCAGAGCCAGGAGTAGGAGTACTAGAGGCCCAGGAAAAGCTATGATTTCAGAGGCTAGAGTCAGCCTAAACTTTAACATGGTATAGCTATAGTCAAGAAGGTACCATATCATAAATAGGATATTCATGCATTCTTTGGATTGTAGAAGTAATCATTGGGATCTCTGAATGTTTATCCAATAGTTTTAAATGTCTACTGTACACTGAGAACTGTGCTAGGCAGGTAGGACCTCTGCCTTGTGTAGGTAACAATCCTCTACCTAAAATATCCTCCTTATTTGTGAATTTATACTGCTTGTTTATTTTCTGCTTTTCATTTGAATAAACATTTTTCCCTTGTTATAGGACAGAAGTTGATTGTTACTCATAAAATATTCTACTTTTTAAATAGAAAAAACACTGAAAAGTTAAAAACAAATGTATGTTGGTGAATAATTTTTTTTTTAATTTTATTATTTTTATTTTACGTGTAGGAGTGTATTGTATGCCATGTATGTAAGGACATCCGTGTACTGCAATGCTTGAAGAGGTCAGAAGAGGGCATCAGATCCCCTGGAACTGGAGTTAGGGATAGGGTTGTCAGCCACCATATCAGCCAGGAATTGAATCCAGGCCCTCTGCAAGAGCAGCCAGTGCTCTCAACCCCTGAGCCATCTCTCCAGTCTCTAGTGAATAATTTTTAAAGAACTTATTTACACATAAGTATTGTGTGTGTGTGTGTGTGTGTGTGTGTGTGTGTGTGTGTGTGTGTCAGCATGTGGGTGAGGGTAGCTGCACAGGGAGGACAGAAGGTGGTATTGGGTGTTTTTCTCTATCATATTCCACCTATTCCTTTGAGGCAGGGTCTCATCGCTGAATCTAGGGCTCACATTTTTCTCAGGCTAGAAGCCAGAGAAACCCAGCAGTCTTCCTGTCTCCACTCCCCTCAGAGTTGGGGTTACAGCTGCTTGCATGGATCCCCAGCCCATCACATGGTTGCTGGGATCCAAACTCAAGTCTTTAGAATTGCTGAGTGAGTGCTCTTAACTCCTAAGCCATTTCTGGCCCCCATTAATGAGTAATTTTAAGTGTAACTTACAAATAGGTCCAGAAACAGAACATTGCCAGCCCTCTTGGAAGCTCTATGTAACCAATCAAGATGCCCTCCTTTTTGAAGATGTATCCATTATTATGACTTTTAAAATGGCATGTTTATGCTGGGTGTGATGGCATACACCTTTAACCTTAGCACTTGGAAGGCAGAGGCAGGCAGATCCCTGGTCTACATAGTGAGTTCCAGGCCAACTGGGGCTATAGGAGACCCTGTCTTAAAAACAGAAACAAAAACAAAACCCTCCAAAATAGTAGTTTGGTTGTTGCCCTTATACTTTTTGCTGCATTTGCCTCTAAAATATAAATTTCTGTTGTTGAAAGTTTTGTATATGAATGGATATTTAGTGTATGAGTTTTTGTTGTGCTTCTACCCGTCAATATTATGTGTGTATTTCACATTACTGTAGGTGGTTACAACTCATTGACCTTTATTGTTGAGTTTGAAGATAGTCATGATGTTTAAGAGGTTTGATTTTTCTTAGCTTTTAACCCCCTTGGGATCAACTCTTTCATCATTAGTAGTAGAATCAAATGGTATGTGTAAATAATTTGAAATTATAATTAAAGCTGAGAATAATAGTGCACAGCTGCAGTCTCAGCTACTTGAGAGGCCCTACTGGAATGATTGCTTGATCCCAGATCCTGGCAATATAGATAAAAAGAGAAAAAAGAAGAGGAGAGGTTAAAATCAACCATCAGCTTTCTTCTCTGTTACTTCACTTTTAAGAACTCTAGTCTGTAATATACTGCACTTTTCTTCTACATATTTAATGTATATTATATTCCTGGCCATTAGAAATGTCAGTTAGTTGAATAAACTCAAAAAATATTTGAGCATTTACTATGTTCCAGGCATTTTTGTCAGTGTTAGTTAGACTGAAAGATTTTAGTAGAAAAATAAATGAAATTTAATTTTATTTCTTTAAGCCTGCATTCTCTGTTATATTTTTACTATACTTTCTAGAAAAAAAAAGTAATCATCTTTTATCTACATCCTTAAACAATGCACAGTAAACTTTTATTTGGTACTTCTTTTTAACTTAATAATATTGTTGATTTCAAGGACAGTTCATATTTTTCTATAAGAAACTTCCAGAAATTAAATTAGTAGAATAAATTAAAACATATCTAGTACTCCATAGTCTCTCTTTTAAATCATCCTTCTTCCATTTATTATAGAGGCAAGAATCATAGGAAACTACTTTTTATATGTTAGATACCATAGGTATATTTGTTGGACATGTAATATACCTATGGAAAATCATGACTTAAATAAATTAAATTATCGTTTCTTTTGGACTCATTTTTCTTTTCCAAAAAGACATTTTTTTCCTTTACTTATTTAGTTCTTAAAGTGTCATCTTGTCTTCCATTTTTTTGCATTACAAAAGTAGTATAGAGCCACTATTGAAGATCAAGCGAGAAAAAAAGATCCGTAACTCTTAAAATGTTTTGTTCATTCCATTTTAATATTTAAAATTGTTAATAAATTCATAAACATTCATAAACATGAATGATCTTATGTTTTGCTTCTTAACCTGCAGATCATAACTTTAAGTTGCTATATATCCACATTTTTTTGGTAGGCATTGTTGGAGACCATGTTTGGTGTAAAAGTGGTTATAACAGGTGATGCATTTGTACCTGGGGAAAGAAGTGTCATTATCATGAACCATCGGACGAGAGTGGATTGGATGTTCCTGTGGAATTGCCTGATGAGATACAGCTACCTCAGATTGGAGAAAATTTGCCTCAAATCCAGTCTCAAAAGTGTTCCTGGATTTGGTATGTTACTCATACATTATTTAAATGGCCCACTCAATTTGTATGCAATATAACCACTCTAAAATTATAATGTTGAGGATAAGTTGAACTATATGGAGGTATCAATGCTATTCACATTTTTTTCTTACTAGGCTAAAATTATTTCCAGTTTCCCTTTATCTTAATGGCTTAGTTATTTTCTATGATTTTATTTTAACTTCTCTCTTTTTGACTTTTTTGGTTGTTAGCCTGAGCCTTTAATGGCTGAGCTATCCCTCCAGCCCAAACTTCTCTCACTATCTTTTTTAAAATATCTTACTCTAAAAGAAAATATAAACTGTTATTGAGGAAGTAGATAAAGTCTTAGAACCACCATGTTGAAGGATATGAATTAATATATTAGTAATTATCTAAAAAAAATTCATTCACAGATTAAGATGACCGATTTATTCTCATAGTGCTGGAGGTCAGAAGTCCAAAATCAACTCCTTTCTTCCCAGCTTGCCTACTTTAAGATAAGCTCTGCTAAGATTACCCCCAGGCTTGATTTCTCCTATATTCTTTGAATATTCCATAGCCTTGTGCTATATTACTTTATTATTATTTAATTTGGCCCTTTGATTTGCTTATGAATTTTGTCTTTTTAAAAAATATTTTATTATTTTTTTTTATGTGTATATGTCTGTTGCCTGCATGTAGGTAAGTGCACCTGTGTCGTGCGATGCCCACGGAGGACAGAAGAGGTTGTCAGATCCCCTGGAACTGGAGTTATAGACAGTTGTTAGCTGCCATGTGGGTTCTGGGATTAGAACCTGGGTCTTTGGCAAGAACATTCAGTGTTCTTAACCACTGCGCTATCTCTCCAGCCCCCATATTTTATGTGTGTTTTGTCTGCTTATATGTAAATGTACCATGTGAATGCAGTGCCCATGGAGGCCAGAGGACTGGGCATCGGATTCCCTGGAACTGGAAATGCTGATGGTTGTTAGCTGCTTGTGAGTGCTGAGAACTGAATCCAGGTCCTCTGCAAGAGCAACCAATGCTCTTAAAATCCCTGAGCCATTTCTCTAGCCCCTGTTTTTAGGGGTTTTGTTTGTTTGTTTGTTTGTTTGTTTTTGAGAAAAGCTGACCTGCCTCAAACTTAAGATCCTCCTACTTTAGCCTCCTAAGTGCTAGGATTACAATGTGTGGCCATGCCTTGTTGATTCTTGTTTTTGGCAATGGACATTTTTCTTGAAGGTGAGACCTGTATGTGTATTCTGCCTCTATTTTTAAAATGGTTTTAATTAGCATATATTAATTAACATAATAATGGTTCTATTATGATATTTTCATACATGTACACAGCATATTTTGATCATGCTCACCCTGTTTTCTTGTCCTGTTACCACTCTCACTGATCCCCTTCCTCTTCCTATAACTAGCCCCCTTCTACTTTCATGGTTTTTTTTTTTTTTTTTTGGGGTGTGTGTGTGTGTGTGTGTGTGTGTGTGTGTGTGTGTGTATCTCACCCAGTAAGTTTTGTTAGGGTTAGTTACAGGAACATAGGTGAGAATTTGTTTACAAGACCATGGACACCATACCACTGGCTGTACCACTGAAGAAAGTGTCACCTCCTTGCCCACCAACTGTTAATGCAATCCCTCAAGGAAGAATGGGACCACTGTTCTATGACAGGATGTTGGTGGGCCCAGTCCTGTGCACATTTTGTGCAGGTAATTGCAGCTGCTATGAGTGTAGTGACAAGTTATCCCAGAAGTTTGTAATCCAGACTGCTCACTCCCTTCCTCTGACTCTTATACTCTTGATGCCTCTTCTTTTGTGATACTCTCTGAACTTTGGAGGAGTGATATGTCTCATTTATGACTAAACATTCAGCTATCATTTATTCTTGGCACTTTGACCAAAAACGAGTCTTTGCAGTCACCATTACCCACTTCAGGGATAGGCACTCTGTAGCCTCTTGTTCTCTGGGGTCACCATTACCCACTTTGAAATAAGTTTCTCTGACTAGAACTGACAGCCATCTGGTAGATGATCTTTTTGATGTATGTTTGTGATTTTCAGATATTTTGTTGAGAATTTTTGCATCTATGTTCATTAGGAATATGGCCCTATAGTTTTCTTTTTTGTTGTGTCTTTATTAGTTTTTGTATTAGAGTAGTACTGGCATCATAGAAGAAGTTTGTAAGTTCTCTCTCTTTTCTATGTTTTTGAGCATTTTAGTAGTATTGGTTGTAGATGTTCTTTGAATGTCTGGCAAAATTCTGCTGTGAATCCATCTGGGCCTAGGCTTTTTTTAGTTGGGAGGCTTTGTATTACTGTTTCTATTTCCTTATTATGGGTCTGTTTAAGCTGTTTATCTCCTCTTGATTTAACTTTGGTGGTTTCCATGAATTTAGAAGCTTGTTCAGTTATTTTAGATTGTCAGATTTAATACAGTTTAGGTTTTTTTTAAATATTACCTTATAGGGCTGGAGAGATGGCTCAGTGGTTAAGAACATTGGTTGTTCTTGCAGAAGACCTGGGTTCGATTCCCAGCACCCACATGGCAGCTAACAACTGTCCATAACTCCAGTTCCAGGGGATCTGATGGCCTCTTCTGTCCTCTGTGGGCATTGCGCAACATGGGTGCACTTACCTACATGAAGTATTACCTTATAATATTCTGGATCTTTTAGGTCTGTTGCGATGTTTCCCTTTTCAGCTCTAATTTTGTTGATTTGGATTTTCTCTTTCTTTCTTTTCGTTAACGGGGCTAAGGTTCAGTCTATCTTTATCTTTTCAAAGAACCAGTTCTTAGATTCATTGATTCTTTGTATTGTTTTCTTTTTTTCTATTTCATTAATTTCTGCTTTGATTTTTATTATTTCTTCTCATCTGCTGGGTTTGGGTTTGTTTTGTTCTTGCCTTTCTTAAGTTGTACTGTTAAGTCATTTATATGTGTGCTTTCTGTTTTTAAATGTGCAAACTTCCCTCTTAGGACTGCTTTTAATGTGTTCCAGAGGTTTTGTTTTGATGTGTTATTATTTTCATTTAGTTCAGGAATACTTTTATTTATTTCTTGATTTCTTCTTTGACCCAGTCGTCATTCAGGAGTGTGTTTTTTAGTCTCTCTGACTTCATGTAATTACTACAGCTTCTTTTACTGTTAATTTTAAGTTTTATTGTGTTGTGGTCTGATAGACTGCATGGAATTATTTGAGTTTTTTTTTAATGTGCCCCCTTATATGGTCAATTTTAGAGCAACTTCCATGGGCTGCTGAGTATAATGTATATTATTTGGTGCTTGGATGGACTATTGGGTAGATGTCTGCTACATCCATTTGATCTATGATATCATTTAATTCAGATGTTTCTCTGTTTATTCTTTGCCCTGCTTATTAGAGATAGTGGGTTATTGACATCACCATCTTTTACTGAGTTGGGCTGAATCTGTGTCTTGAAGTCCTATAGTATTCTTTTTATGAAATTGGGTGCACTAGACTTTGGTTCATATATGTTGATGATTGTAATGTCTTCTTGGTCAATTGTTCCCTTGATCAGATTGATGTGACCTTCCTTATCTCTTCTCATTAATTCTAATTCGAAGTCTATTTTGTCAGATACTAGGATTGCAATATCTGCTTGTTTCTTAGCACCATTTGCTTGGAATATTTTTTCCATCCTTTCACCCTAAGGTAGTGCCTATCCTTGAAGGTGAGATGCATTTCTTCCAGTTGACAGAAAGATAGATTTGTTTCTTAATCCATTCAACTAGTTTGTGCCATTTGACTGGGGAGTTGAGATCATTGATATTTAAAATTGTTATTTAAAATTGTGTATTGGTGTTCTTGGGTCCTATTTTGTGTTTCCATAATTATATCTCTTTTGCTTTCTTTCTGTAGCCTCTTAGATATGGTCATTCCTTTCTGCAGTCCTTTGTATTGCTTTGAGTATTCTCTTTATGGCTGGTTTGGTAGATATGAATTCTTATAGCTTATTAGTGCCGTGGAAGATTTTTCTTTCTCTTTCAACTATGATAGACAGTTTTTCTTGTTAAAGTATTCAGGGCTGGCATCCATGGTCATTTAGAACTTAGATTACTATGCTCCACTCCATGCTCTTCTGGCTTTCACAGTTTGGATTGAAAAAAATCAACTGTAATTCTTATCGACTACCAGATAGATCCAGGCAGGCTAATAAGGAGATCTCTAGGAGGACAAGAGGCCTTAAGTCTAAGTAAAGGTGATAGATGTCAGCTGGGCCCATTCTAACTAGCTAAGCAAAGAAGGTATGAACCCTGGAGCCGAGCAACTGGGGCTGGTCTCAAAGCAGGGGAATGGCGACCTGGCATGTTAGAATCTGGCTATCTCTCCCAGGGAGTCAGGTGCTTTCCTGCAGCCTCAGCGTTTCAGGGCCACCAAGAGCCAATAGTAACAAGATGAACTGGTTCTTAGTAGCTAGCAGAGAAGGTTTGATCTCTACAGCAGTAGTAGGGACTGTAGTTCCAAAGCAGGGGAATGGGTGTGGTGGGATTTGAGTAACTCACCCAGGCTAGTCAGGTGCATTCTGGCAGCTTCAGCGGGATGGGGCCAAAGACAGCCAATGGTAACAGAATGGACTGGTTTCTATTGGCTACCAGTGTTTGGATGGAATATTCTGTAGATGTCTGTTAAGTCCATTTGCAAATTAGTAACTCTTTATTGCATGTCATGTTTATGCTTTAAGAAACTCAGTAAGTGGCCTGTACTCCTAGCATAAGTGATAAAGTCTTCCCCTTTCTCAGCTTACAAATTAATGTGAAATAGTGGTAAGCAGCAGCTTGTTCAAATTAGTTCTTGGCACATGAGTGTGTGAGGTCTTCCTTGATAGTCATACTTCTGTGGTTTTCCTATGTAACATTTCTCATTTGCGTTCCTTGCCTTTTAACAAATATGGCATATGATTTGGAGGGCAAATGGCAGGCATCATCATCAAGGTCAGCAGTAAGGCTGGCTGTTGATTTATTAGGTGTGTTTGCATTTTGATGTTGTCATGCT